TTCCATATCTGTGAATCTGTTTCTTTTTTGTTACATTCACTAGTTTTTTGTTTTTTTTTTTTAACATCTTTATTGGGGTATAATTGCTTTACAATGGTGTGTTAGTTTCTGCTTTATAACAGAGTGAATCAGTTATACATATACATATGTTTGTTTTATTTTTAAAATTCCTCGTATAAGTGATATCATACAGTACTTGTCTTTCTCTCTTTGACTTACTTCACTAAGCACAATACCCAAGTCCATCCATGTTGTTGCAAACGGCAAAATTTCATTTTTTTTTTCCTTGTTCTTTTTTGTGTGTATATCTGTTACAGATTTTTGGTTTGTGGTTACCATGAGGTTTATACATAGCAATCTTTATGTGTACGTGATAGTTTTTAGTTGCTGATCTCTTAATTTCAAGTGAATTTTAACACCCCTGCATTTGTACTCTCCTATCATGATGACTGTCTTTGACATCATATTTTACATCTAATTGTTTTGTGTATCCCTTAACTACTTATTGTGGATATAGATGATTTTACCACTTTTTTCTTTTAACCTGCCTACTGGCTTTGTGTGTGGATGATTTCCTACCTTTATAGTATATTTGCCTTTACTGGTGAGCTTTTTCCTTTCCTAATTTTCATGTTTCTATTTGTGGCCTTCTCTTTTTCACTTAGAGTTCCTATAACATTTCTTGTAAAGCTGGTTTGGTGGTTCTGAACTTTTGCTTTTGATCTCCATAAAATCTGAATGAGAGACTTGCTGGGTACAGTATTCTTGGTTGCAGGATTTTTCACTTTCATCACTTTAAATGTATCATATCGCTTCCTTCTGGCTTGCAGAGTTTCTGCTGAAAAGTCAGCTGATAGACTTATGGGAATTCCCATGTATGTTATTCCTTTCTTTTTGCTTTTCCCTTTCTGCTTTTAATAGTCTCTCTTTAATTTTTGCCATTTTAATTACAGTGTGTCTTGGTATGTTCCTCTTTGGGTTAATCCTGTATGGGACTCTCTGTGCTTCCTGGACTTGGATGACTGTTTCCTTTCCCAGATTAGGGAAGTTTTCAGCTATTATCGCTTCAAATGTGTTCTCTGCCCCCTTTCTGTCTTCTCCTTCTGGGACTCCTATAATGTGAATGTTAGTATGCTTGATGTTGTCCCAGAGGTCTCTTAAAACTGTCCTCGTTTCTTTTCATTCTGTTTTCTTTTTCCTTTTAGCATCAGTGATTTCCACTACCCTGTCTTCCAGCTCACTGATCTGTTCCTCTGCATCATTTGGTCTACTTTTGATTCCCCTTGGTGTATGTTTCATTTCAGTTATGGCGTTTTTCATCTCTGTTTGGTTCTTTATATTTTCTAAGTCTTTGTTAAAAACTTCTAACTTTTGCTCTGTGCATCCATTCTTCCCCCGAGTTCTTTGATCATATTTATGATGACTGTCCTGAACTCTTTCTTGGGGAGATTGGCGCTCTCCACTTCACTTAGTTCTTCTTCTTAGCTTTTACCTTTTGGTCCTTCATCTGGAACATGTTCTTCTGTTGCCTTACTTTGCTTAAATTGCTGTTTGTATTTTTATGTATCGTGTAGGTTAGTTGTTTCCTGACCTTGGAGAAGTGGCCTTCTATAGACGTCCTTTGTGTCCCAGCACCCCACTTCCCTCTTGTCCCCAAGCTATATGCTCTAGGGTTTCCCCCCATGAGGGCTGCATGGGTCTTTCTGTTTGGCAGGCTATGTGGGCAGTCTGGTAGGCTTGGGTAGTCCCCAGTCCAGTTGGTTGCCAGGCCCCACCTTATGCAGAGGCTGCTGGCTGTTGGTTGGCAGGGCTGTCACGAGGCAGCTGACTGCACAACCCCAGGCGGCCCTGGGGCTAGTACTGGCTCACTAGTGGGTGGAGCCATGATCCAGAAGACTCCAGGATTGTAGTCTGCCCACTGGTGGGCGAAGCCAGGTCCTGAGGTTAGTGTCAGACTACTGGTAGGCAGAGCTGGGTTCTGGAGTATGTTTGCAGGGCCCCAGGATCCCAGAGCTGGTGTTGTATCACTTTGGGGGTGGGGGAAGGGAGATTCCTGACATGGGTGGAGTGTGGGGTGTCCCAAAGCTTTGTTGGCCTGCTAGTGGGCACAGCCGGGGCCCAGCTGGTCCCAGGGCAGCCTGCTGTGGGCCGACTGGGTCAGCAGGCTGTAGGAATGCGAATTTCTTGCCTCTCATGTCTGTCCCCTTGTGGGTGAGGCTGGTCCAAAGGTTAGAGCTGATTTCATGGAGGGCAGGGTTGGGGCCCAGGGGGTTCTGGGACTGGTGCCTACCCACTGGTGGGTGGAGCTGGGCCCTGGGCCCTCTGGTGGGCAGGGCAGTGTCCAGAGGTGGCTCTGGGCTCATGAGGTCTTTAGCTTGTGTGCTGACAGGAGGGACTGTGTCCTCACCCAGTTAGTTGCTTGGCCTGAGGTGTCCCAGCCCCGGTGCCTAGAGGCTGTTGTATGGGGCCAGGTCTTGGTGCTAATGAGCCAGAGGACGGGACCCACAGTGGTGCCCACCAGCGCCAGGGGCCATGCAGTAGAGGCAGCTCCCGAGTGGCTGCCACCGGTGTCTGTGTCCCCAGCGGAGCCACAGTCGCCACCACCCCCACCGCCGTTCTAGCCAGCTAATTATCATAAATATTTTTAAAAACAAAAATAATCTACCATTGGACTCTGGGAGGTCTCATGCCAAGGAGTACTTCCCAGAACTTCTGCTGTCAGTGTCCTTGTCCCCGCGGTGAGCCACAGCCACTCCCTGCCTCTCCAGGAGACTCTCCAAGACCAGCAGGTAGGTCTGGCCCAGGCTTCTATCAAATTAGTGCTTTTGCCCTGAGTCCCAGAGCATGTGAGGTTTTGTGTGCCCTTTAAGTTTCTTCTTTCCCCAGTTTTGTGGGACTCCTGAAACCAAGCCCCTCTGGCCTTCAAGGCCAATTGCTCCGTGGGCTCTTCTTCCCAGTACAGGAACTCCTGTGGGAAGATCCTCTGCAATATAATTACCCTCATTTGTGGGTCATCCAGCGGGGGCTACGGGACTTGACTGTATCATAAGCCTGCCTCTCCTACCCATCTCGTGTGGTTCCTTCTTTATATCTTTCTTTAGTTGTAGATCTTTGCCAGGAGGTTCCCATATTTTTCATTGATGGTTGTTCTACAAACAGTTGTGATCTTTGTGTGCTCGTGAGAGGAGGTGAGCTAAGGGTCTTTCTACTCTGCCATTTTGACCAGTTTTTCGGTCATGAAACATCTTTGATAGATTTAATTCCCAGTTACCTTTGGGGGTATTTTTTTGGTTGCTGTTCCTATTGTAAATGGTATTTTCTCTTGAATTGTGTTTTACATGTTGCCAGTGTACTGAAATGCATTTGATTTCTGTATATTGATCTCAAATCCAGCATCCGATAATGCTTTTGGATTCACTAAGTGGAAAATCAAAATCTGTGAAAAGTGAGTTATTTCTTCCTTTTTAGTCCTTGCACGTTACTTTCTTTTCACTCTAAGTGCTGCGGCAGGGGCGGTGTAGGGACAACGATGAATAGTGATCCAGGATATCCTCACCTCACCCCAACCGTGAATAGAATACTTCAAACATTGCATTTGCTCCGGGTTTCCTGTAGATGATATCCTTTGTGAGGTAAGGGTAGTTCCTTTCTGTTCCTAGTTTGCTGAGCGTGTCTATGGTTTGTTGCTGCATCTTACCGAATACTTTTTCTGCATCTATTAACATAATCTGTGTTCCATCTGTTACTGATTATTTGGGTTCCTCTACTCCCTACAAGATGAGAAAATAATTTACAATATAAAGAAAACTTTGAGATCCTTTTAGTGCTTGCCTTTATAACACATACTGGCTAGTACGGAGACTAAAACCCAGAAAGCCTGTTTATCCAGCCCGACGCTCCCTTGTTTGCTTTCAGGCCAGGCAATGGACCGTTCTAGTCAGTGGGGGCTGGTAGAGCTGCTGGCCGAGGGAAGCCAAAGCAGCCCTGCTCTGTCAGGTGCAGAAGGCACAGGCCCAGGGGCCGGGAACACAGGGGACCTAGAGGACACGTGACAGCTGCCAGACTGGAGAGGGAACAGGGCAGGCATCTCTTCCCCACCCTTGGCCATGGCCAGCTTCACCTGCCTCTGAGGATCCCCTTCCTAGAGCTCCACAACCAGCCTCAGAGTGGGCAGACTCTGTCCCAGAGGGGCACTCAGAAAATGAAGGTAGTAATTCTTCCAAAGAATTCCAGGCTCCAGCAGAACACTGGAGAGGAGTAAGGTCTCTCGTGACAGGTTTTCCGAATGGTGGAGTCACCGGTATGAAGACGTAAGCTTGCCCTCATGAATTAACTGTGCACTGAACAACTCTATCCACTGTAAGAGGATCTTTAGACCCAGGGAACCAGGCCCACGAGACACAGAGGCCGGGACTGTTGTCTTCACACCTCCACAGGGTTATCCAGGGGCAGAAGAACACAGAAGTGTGACCACAAAAGGGACAAACCAGGACCATCAGGAGGAGCTGAAGGAAGCATAAAGGCTGACTCAGCATAAGGAAGAACTTCCATAGGGATTCCCTTGGTGAGAGGGATTGCCCCATCACAGCAAGTGAGCAAAGACCTGAGGACCATCTGGCAGGGATTGGAGAGAGAAGATTCATGCCAGGATGGAACTGCTGGCCTCCAAAGTCCCTTCTGTCCCTGGAATATGCAGTGACACCAATGAACAGAGTTGCCTGGGTTTACCCAAGAGCCAAGGTGGTCAACGTGACATTCTGGCTCATGACATCATTCCGCAGGCTCCGCTGCCCTCTGTACCAATGAGTTGGACACCTCTGGTCCCCTGGGGTGGCCTGTGCTCTCCCCAAGAGCTTGAGAGCCCTTAGGAGCTCTGTGTTCCTATTTTGCAAATTGGGTCAGGCTAAGATTCTGTACTGTGGGAAGGTGCCAAGAAGCCATCAAAGCCCTCCAACATGAAGGGGAGTGGAGGAAGTAGAGTGGTTGTTCATCTACCAGTGTAGCACAAACAGGGGCTTTATTGGTGGCGCTTGGGACGCTGTGACAGCCCAGCACACAGGCTGTGAGGGCCTGGACAACTGCCAGGAGGCGAGACATGAGGGGACCAGCCTCTGCACTGTGCTGCTTAGGGCACGTTGTCCCTTTTCAGTTCTTAGAGGCAAGTGTGCAGGAAGAGGGTTTAGGACTTCACAAACTGGTGGGTGACCTCGTAGATTCCCACAGACTCCTGAGCCTTTTCGTCATAGTCAGTCCAGTCCTGTGGGAAAAAATGGCAGCGTTAGCCTCACGAGGCAGCCTGGACAGCATGGGGAGTGAAGGACTAGGACTTAAAAAGGCCTAGCTCAGGCTCCGGCTCAATCTGCAGGAACATGTCAGACCCAGAACAGAGCCAGACTGCTCGGGCCTGAATTCCTACTCTTCTAGCTTTGTGATTTTGGGCAAGTCACTAACTTCTCTGAGCCTTCGTTCTGTCCTCTATTAAAAAAAAAGAGGACAGCAGTAGATTTTACACTGAATGTTGAAAGAATCAAGAGTTAACATATGTAAAAGTATTTAGCCTAGGGCCAGGCACATATGAGAGCTCAGTAAATCCAATTACTGTTATTAGGTGCTATGCAAACTGAATGTTTTTGTCCTTCCTTCCTCTGAGGCCTGACCACAAGCCTTCCTTATCTGCAAGGCAGTAACATGTCCAGTTGATTCTTGGTATTCACAGTAGTTATGTTCTACAAAGTCCCCACAAACACTGTATTAGTGAATACTGGATCACTGCTCCCAGGGGAAATACAGGGTTAGGTTCCTGGGAGCATCTGATTCTGTTTAAAAACACCTTATTTAACATATATATATATATATACACACACACACACACACATACATATATATATATATATATATACACACACACATACATACATATACATACATATATATATATATATATATAGCTGATTCACTAATACTGAACTCACAGCCAACAGTGCTGTATCTCACACCTGAACAAGCTTGTCTAACACATATCTTCTCTGTAAGGCACACCCAGCTTTCCTGCTTGTGAACACTAGGCAGCGCTTCAGCACTACACTTGGGGCTATCGTAAACACCAAAATCACCAACAAAAAGCATGAAAGTGTGGAGTCGGCTTCCCACTGAAGAGCCTTGTTCACCAAAAGGGTTATTCCCACCAGGTGCCCTAGAGCTCCCCGCAAGGCCCCCAAGTCCTGTACCTTTTCCTGCAGATTAATGTCACTGAAGACTGTCCCGGATTCCAGACCCTCAGCAGCAAACCCGGCCTGCAGGTGACAGGAAGGCAGCAGTTAATCTGGGGGAAAGGAGGCACTGGTCTGGCCTGTGGGGCCTGGTCAGGGAACTGGCCTTTCTCACAATACCTCTGACATGGGAAGACAGAAATACAGTGTGGGCTACTGTTCTGGAATAACTACTGAGCTTCTATGCCCTGGCAGCTGCCCTGGGACTAGAGTGGTTTCTCCAAATTAGAGCCCTGGCCCAGAAGGCAGGAGGTGTGGGGTAAACCCGTCCATTACCCTTGATTTTCTGAAACACCCTGGGCATGTCACTTCCCTCTCTGGACCTCAGTTTTCTTACTTATGAAACGGGGATGACAATACTCTCTCTTCTGCCTACTTCACAGGGTTGTGAGGTGAAAATGCTACACAAATAAAGTGGCCTGAGCACTGGCTCTGGAGTCGGATAGATGTGGGTTCAAATTACAGCTCCACTGCGTACTAACCGCATCACCCTGGGCAAGTGGCAAAATCTCTGAAGTTCTTTGCTCATCTGAAAAATAGGATGTATAACTTCACAGAGTCACTGTGAGGATTAAGTGAGGTAACATTAAAAGTGACAAGCCTGGTGCCCAACATATATTAGATGCTTAATAAATAAAACTGTTATTCTTAGAAATGAGAATTCCTAGTCCACGGTCTCTGTAGGAAGCACAGTTCTACTGTCACTTCCTATACGCCCTCCCCAAAGACACAGGTTCCCCAGGAAGACATGCACCTGGGGCTGGAAATCGACTGGTTCAAGTCCTCGGCACTCAAACTCCACTATCGTCTTAAACTTCTCATTGTCTTCGGCCTAGAAAGGAAGTGTGTTGAGAAGGTAGGTCCAACTGTGCCCTCAGGATGACTCCACAGCCCCTGAGAGCCCAGAATGGGACTCGGGGGCAACTCATCCCGTTCTGGAAGAAGGCTGCCTTGACACCTGCTTGCCAAGAGATCTTCCTGGATGTGGACTCTGGGGTCAGAGTGCCTGGATGTGAGCTCAGACACAGTTCTGCCTCTTTTCCTCTGGGCCTAAGATTGTCAGCTGGAGCTGAGGAAACCACTACAGGTTTATTATGAGAACCTGAACGAGGTGTAAATTGCCCAGTATAGGACCCGACACTATGCTCAATGAATGGTAGATAAAATTATCAAAATAAAAACTATGAAGACGAATGTTAAGCTATAAGGTTTCCAGGTCATCCAAAAGGCCCAAGTACACTTTGCTGTGGCCTTTTGCTAACCATCCGCCATGCTGTCAAGGCAGGGGCTGACTTAAAGCCTTTGAAGTGGGATAATGCATGTGGAGGAGGCACACTGAGGTGGGTGGTACAGCCAGGAAATTCATGCCTCCCTGACCCCTGGGCCCACAGACCCCAAGGACACACCCACTCATTCATTCTCATCCTGTCATTTACTGTAGAAATGCTTCCTGCACACCAACCATGTGCCTGGCCCTGGATTGGTTTTTGTTTGCTGGTCTGTCTCTTGCGCTAGATAACGATTTACTTGAGTGCAAGTCCTTGTGTGATTTTTCCCTTTAACTTCAGGACAAAGCTGAGAATTTGGCATAAATCAGACATTTTTCAAAAATACCAAATAGGAACGGATGAAGACACAGACCCAAAGCATACACTCCCTCCCTCACCTTTGGACTAATCTGTTAATGCAGTAATGTATAAATACCTAATAAAATCAAATATCAAGGATGGATGCACTGTCTCATCCATGGATTCAGAGAAGGCTCACTAGCCCTCTAAGATGTAGACAAGGCAAGTGTTCCCAGTGATGGAAACTGAGTGGCCAGGTTGGGTCAGAGGTCCCCTAAGCTCCCACAGCCCAACACTTATAAGAAGGCAGTACAATAGCCTAGTTATGAGTCTTTTTCCTACCGAGCACTCAGTCAGGGTAAGGTGAATAAGTGACTGACAGTGAATGAATGACTGAGTGAATGAACGAACAAGTAAGCACATGAAGTCAATCAGTTCCATGGTGGGTCACTCTGGTGCAGATATAACTCGAGAACCCAGGCCTCCTAGTTCCCGGCTTGGATCTGATCCCACCATGCCTGCCACTGCAGCAGGAAACTTACATTGTAAGGTTTGATGGTGCTGCTCAAAATCTCTGAAATGTAAAAGAGAAGACAAAGTCGATTTAAGTCCATATCCCGGCCCCACCCAGGTACCCAGATGTGGCTCTGGGCAAGAGTCCACGGCAGAAGCTTGGATACCTCAGGCCTGGGTCCACCCGCAGGTAACATGAGCATGCTTTCGGTCTGGCACCACAAAGCCGATGGCCAGCCTGGCAGAGGTCAATATCCATAGCCTACCTACCAATGGAGTTTTCCCTTGAACACAGCTTGCACTTCTGGACCATGGAGGCACTGCCACGGCCTCCCTTCAGTGCCACGTTGTCCTGGCAAGCAGTAAACAGAACCTCTAGTCACATATCAGTCAGATGTAAGGGTCCCCAGGAGACCCAGTCCTACCACTTATTATCAATTAATATTATAACAGTATTTAAATACACACCATCTATATCTACCAAGACCCAGACAGGGTGAGCAACTTGCTAGGACAAGAATCCTGGGAAGGCTTCTTGAGAGTGAGGAAAGGACTTCCCCTTGACTTTGAACTCTGCCTCACATCCCAAAGCCCACTGTTCCCAGTTGATCACACTCTGCCTGCCCTCCCAAACCACAAAAAGTGGGGTCCAAAGACCGGGGAGGTGAGGGCCACATATCCCTGCCCAGAGGCCTATGTGTGTCTGTATATGGGTATAGTGGTAGGGGGAGCAGTTACCGTCAGCCGAATGTACTGCCACTTCTCTGAAATCTCACCGCAGTTGCCACATTTCATCTTGGGGAGGAGGAAAAAGAGTATTAGTAAAGAAGTTGGCTCAGTTGGACAGACGCTGAGGGAAGGGTAAGAACAGTGTGAGGTGGGCAGGCTCATCATCTTGTCAGCAATCTTACCTCATCCTTATAACCAGCCCCACTAAGGACATAACCAGACTTCTCTCTGGGCAAAGTGTTTCTCGTGTTGGCTTGCTCATCCTCCTCTTAAGAAGTCCCCAGTCTGGCTAGGGATTCAAGGCTCAAGTAGTACAAATGGCTTCAAAGTACCCCCCCCCCCGTTGAGTTAGGAGCTTCCTGTGTGTCCTTACAGGCCCTGTAGGTTCCTGGTAAAAGTATTTATCATTCTGTTGCTACTCCTTCTTTGTCTCCTTCTCTAGACTCTGCTTTTTGAAGCCAGGAAACATCAACTCCTCAAATAAGCCCTGGCACTCGGGCTTCAAAATATTTGGAAATAAAGGTGGGCAGAAAGCTTCCTGAAAGATAGGGCTTTTGCCAGGTACTGAAGGATTCTGCGATTCAGACTAAAAGGAAAACAGATCAGAAGCTCCGGGATCTGGGAGAGTAAACGGTCTCAAACTGCTCAGTTAAGAAGAGGACCTCTGTATACCATCCCACTAGAGTACCAGATTTACCAATACAGGATGGGGAATTAAGAATGGAGCCATGCACAAAATTAAACGATTTCACAGTAAATAAAACCTAATCAAAAAAAGAGAAGGTGAAATTATTCGTACTAAATAATCACAAGATCCCTTCAAGTAGCCTTTCGTTTAGTGTTTGTTTACATACCATGAAATATGTTACGGAGGAAAAAATTACAAAAGATATTTCAAGATACTACCAATTAAGAATTAACCAGTAGGGCTTCCCTGGTGGCGCAGTGGTTAAGAATCCTCCTGCCAATGCAGGGGACACGGGTTCCAGCCCTGGTCCGGGAAGATCCCACACGCCACGGAACAACTAAGCCTGTGCGCCACAACTAATGAGCATGCGCTCTAGAGCCGGCGAGCCACAGCTACTGAGCCCACACGCCTAGAGCCCGTGCTCTGCAACGAGAAGCCACCGCAATGAGAAGCCTACGCACCGCAGCGAAGACCCAACGCAGCCAATAAATAAATTTTTTTAAAAGAATTGACCAATAAACTTAAAAAAGCAAACATAAAATGCTACCCAGAAGAAAAGAGAACATTTAATAAGCATTTCTCATCTAGCCGAAGAGATCAGGGTGGGATCTCACTGAGATCAGGGTGGGAAAGAGATCAGGGTGGGATCTCACTGAGATCAGGGTGGGAAACCTTTACGCGGCCCCGGCCCCGGCGCCCCCACCAGAGCCTTACCTTCAGGTACCACCGGAAGTCCTCGCCCACTGGCCGGAGGTTGGTGACATTCTCCAGCGTCGCTTTGAGCTGCAGCGCAATTTTCTGAGAGGAGGAACGCCAGGGCGATGTCGTCAACAGCGCCCGGGCAGCCCCGCGCCTAGCCCCTGCCCGGCCCCGCCCTTCTCCTCCCCTCCCGGCATGAGCTGTGCCTCCCCGATCCTTCTCAGCGCGAGCCCACTCCCCTCCTTCCCTCCTGGCGCGAGCTCCTGCCTCCCAGGTTCTCGCCACCTCCCGGCCTCTGCCCCGGCGGCACCTCGCCTCCGCTTACCCCCATAGCGACCCGGCTCAGCCGGCGCTGGCTGTGGCCACTGCTTTCCGGCCCGTCGTAAACGGCGGGCGCCGCTAGCGCACCCTCGCTGCGGCTCTGGGCGGGGCGCGGAGGCGCGGGGCGGGTCTCAGCACGCTGGGGATACCCCCGCACACCTGGCTTTTTCTCCCAGGCAAAGTGGTCCTGTGGAGGTAGGCTGAGTCCGCAACTAGCCGGTGCTCAGACCCGCGGAAGGCTGCCTCCAGCAATCGGTAATTCCAGATATTTACTGAACGCCATGCTAGTCTGAGGGATACCGCAGCAAACAAGACAGTACTGCCCGAAACCTCTGCGGGGTCCGCTTCCTGCCCTTCAGACTCTGCCTTCCCTCACCCAACCTCGCGCTTGGTCCCTGCCTGCCCTTGGAGGCTTCTTAGATCACGTTCACCCAGCCCAGGGCCGGCTTCGTAGGTTTGAGAGACGGGACCTTTTTCATCTTTAAACTGCTCCTTCCTCCTCCCCCCAGGGGACCTTTCAGAGGGTTGGCTCGTGCACATGTCCTTCTCATTGTGGTCGCCAAGACTGGACACTCCCATTCAGCTGGCTCTTCTCTGAGTTCCTGGTTTATTTTTTTATCATACATTTACTGAACCTGTGCTCTTGTGCAGGGCACAGCTGAGACCACACAGAAGCTGTGAGCATTATAAGGAACAGCCTGTTTGAGGCTTTTACAGCTTCCTGAGGTCTAGTTTCTTTAAAATTTGGAGTGACTCTTTTCGGATGTCTACTTTGCCACGAATTTACCTGATTGCCAGGTACTCGTCTGTAGCAGAGGGTGCACTATAGCCAGGAAGCCTAACATCTCAGGTCCCAGATCTGCACCTAACTTGCTGCCCTGTAATCTTTGAAGGAGGCAAAGTAGAGTGTGTGTGTTGTGAACACTTGCCTAGGAGTCACCAGACTTGGGACCTGTCCCAAGTTGGCCTGTCTTGAGGGATGTTGAGCTCAGCCTAATCACCTCCCCTCAGTCAAATGAGATTTATCAAGACCTAGTTCCTTTCAGCGCCCACTGTCTGTTCAGTCAGCAATTTGCTTCATTAAGGAAGCCATGCAATTTAGCAGCAAGAAAAAGTTCCTACAGATTTACCTGCTGAACAAATCCCCACACTATCTACAACTAGGTTGCTTCTTAATGGCCGCTGGTATTCTGATTTTAAAATGGCTGAACAAATCCCCACACTATCTACAACTAGGTTGCTTCTTAATGGCCGCTGGTATTCTGATTTTAAAATGAATTATTGGAAAAAATTTTCTGAGACCAGGCATTTTATCCCTTATAATGTATTAAACCAAATATTTCCCCCATACTGAAGGAGCTTCAGATATATCTATAAAGGTGATTTTAAAAACCCCAACCTCAATTATTAAGCTGGATGAAAAAAACAAAACCCAAAATACCAACCACAATACTATTTCACATCTAAAAAATTAATGATACTTCATTAATACCGAATATCGTGTTAAAATTTCCTTAACGATGTCAATTTTACATTTCCTGAATCATGATCCAAATAGGGTTCAAATGTTGTAATGATTGTGTGTCTCTCAAATCTCCTTTTATAGGTTCTCACTCCATCTCCATTTATTTTATGTTTGCAGCTTATTTTTTGAAGAAATCAGATCCCTTGTCCTGGAGTTTCCCAGGACAAGGATATTGACTGGATTTCCACTGTACTTATTAGCATGTTTCTCTATTCTTTTACTTCCTGTAAACTGGTAGGTATACGTACAGAGTTGATTAGAGTTTTGGCAATACTTCACATAGGATGTTAGTGTTAAAAAGTAATTGAGAAGAGTGCACATGTTCGGGTCTTTATAATAAAAATTGCATTTTGTTACGTATTTATTAAAGACAATCATTTATAGTTTATAAAAAAAATACTGCCCTGATATACACAAAAATGTCTCGATAATGGTAATTAAAAGCAGCACTCCCACCCCCCTTGTGTCCACACCAATATTCAATCTAGATTGGCTTGATCTTGAAGTGTAATCCAATAAGACTGAAGACCAAACACTTCAGGTCCTGGACAAGATAATAAAATACTCGTAAGCCTTCTGGATCCCTAAAATGCAAGAAGGAAAAAATGTTTAAAAAGCTGAGAAAACTCAGCAAAAAAATACCATTTACTAACCCAGATTATTTATGTACCAGGATATTCCTCATAGAGGTATTTACAGGATTAAAACTTTGAAAACTCAGTGTCCAAAAAGAAGAAAAAGCCTATATGCTATATATTAAAATGTAATATTATGAGGTAATTTAAAATGTTAAGGTTTCTTCTTAATGAGGAAATGCTTACATTAAGTGGGAAAAAATCATGATTAAAGTAACACACTGTTGATCTCAATTACATTTTTTGTGCTTTAAAAGACTATATATATTTTTTAAAGCACAGGAAAAAGACAAGAAATACTTTAAGGTTAATGGTTATCTAATTGATAAGTTTACGGGCTATTTTCACCTTTCTACTTTTCTGTATTTCCTGTTTTCAACAATGAGCATGTATTACTTTCAGAATTAGGAAAACTTATTTTTGAAGAAGTGGTACTGAGCAGGACCAAGAGGCTGAAGATTCCTACAGCATAACTGGGTAAGAACAAGACTGTTCACAGGAAGACAGTTATGCCTAACATGTACTAAAGGTGAGCCATGTCTAACCCCAAATCCTCAAAGCACAAGAGCCAAAGAGGTTGCCAAATTCTAAGGATTCTTTGTGGCATGTAGATTCATGTCTCAACTTTATAATTTACCCTACTGACAAAATGAATTTTTAAATTTATATTCGGAATAACTTCAAGTTTCACTAAAGTCAGGCTTTAAGATGTGCTATCGGAATAGCCAACACTGAGGAAGGTGTTCAGACTCATTGATTCTACAGTTTATTTCCAGCACTTGTTTTTTCGTGTTTCATTTCTGTTCTGGCCAGATTCTTACCCACTTTGGCTGCTCTTATGGCATTACTCTGTGTGTGTGTCACTGAGAAGCTCTTATTAGCAATGATTGACTAAAACACCAAAAGCAAAAGGAGCAAGCCCTTGAAAATACATAATTTGGAGTCTCTCTATTGAGGGGGACAAAGCTGACCAATTCTGTCTTACATTTGTACCAGATCTTACCATAATGGTCCCAATTTGGTTAAGGGTTTCATATCGGCCTGCTCTAAAACAGACACATCTGGATATAAGGATCATGGATACTTACTTGGATTGATTGACATCAATAAGGGAACCAATTTTTGACGTTGTGAAAGAAATATGTTCATCTCCAATGACAATTTCAAGCTCCTAGAAACATGAAATGTCAATTTGAATTGGATTTTTCATCAGTCACACAGAAGGGTTCATCATCTGCCAAATCACACAAACTATAATACAGTTGGCCACATTACCAAGACCAGTTCAATCTGAGCCCTAAACTGTACTGGGCACTGGAAACAAAGAGATAAATAATTGGTATGAGATAAATACTGGTTTAGCCCTTGAGTAGCTTATACTCTTAGAGGAAGTTGTGTGTGTGAGGCTCCACCATTTAGAAGAATTTACATCATGCTTTGTATAGGAGTTTTCATTGTTAACAATGTGGAGTAACATGTATAAATCTGTTTTATGAATACCAAGAATCTAACTTTTCTGGGCAACATGGGACAAGTAAAAGAATTCCAGACCCTAAGCAGATCCCAGCTTTGTCACTTACTAGCTGTATGCCCTTGGGTCTGAATTTCTAAAGAGTGAAACAAGTACTATAATCTTAAAAAAAAAAATCTATTGGGTGGGGAATTGGAGGGCAGTGCCTATGGGACAGATCAGCAAAACCAAACAAACATCTCTGCCCTTGTGGAACTTACACTCTATTTTTAAAATATTTATTTATTTATTTATTTATTTTATTTTTTTGGCTGAATTGGGTCTTAGTTGCGGCATGTAGGATCTTCATTGAGGCATGCAGGATCTGTTGCTGCAGCGCTCGAGCTCTTCCTTCGTTGAGGCACGCGGGCTTCTCTCTAATAGTGGCTTTAGCTGCCCCATGGCATGTGGGATCTTAGTTTCCCCGACCAGGGATCGAACCCGCATCCCCTGCACTGGAAGGAGGATTCTTTACCACTGGACCACCAGGGAAGTCCCAAACTTACAATCTATTGAGCTCTACTTCTTAACACTCAGATTTGAAAATGTTAATATTTTATCATATGTGTCAGATTTCTTTTTTAAGAAATATTAGAGTTTAGACCCACCTCCCACTCTGTTCTCCTTCCTGCCTCCCCAGAAGTTGGGGTGTATTCTTCCCAATCATGATTTTATATTACGTAGTATATTTTTAAAATTTTACATAAATGATCGTACTGTATCTTTTTGCTTTTTTCATTCAACAAGGGTTTTTGTTAATTTGTTTTTTATTGAGTTAACATTGTTTTTGGCCACACCATGCAGCTTGTGGGATCTTAGTTCTCTGACCAGGGATTGAACCTGGGCCCATGGCAGTGAAAGCAACGAATCCTAACCACTGGACCACCACGGAATTCCCATATTGGGTTAAAATTGGTTTAAAAGTTTCATGTGTACAATATTATATTTCTACTTCTGTAAATACTACAGTGTGCCCACCACCCAAACTTTAGTTTCCATCTGTCACCATACAGTTGATTCCCTTTACCCATTTTGCAACACCCCCTCCCCACCTTCCCCAGGCCCGTCCCTCTGGTAACCACTACTCTGATTTCTCTATCTATGTGGTTTCGTTTGGCTTGTTCATTTATGTTGTTTTTTGTTTTCAACAAAGTTTTTGTAGGTAGATCAAGTCCATTAGTTTTAAATGCTTTAGAATATTTCCCTATTAAAGCAGACTTAAGTTCCCAATTTTTGTTTCTATAAACAATGTGGCAAAGATATCCTATGCATCTTGTGTATATATGTGCAAATCTCTCTAGGAAATTCCTAGAAGGTAAACATATTTTCAGCTCTGCTAGACACTAACAAATTGTTCCCTAAATGGTTGTACCAA